TTGTAGCTTATGCTGACGACATCATTCTTCTCAGCTCTACTCTCTCGGGCCTAAAAAAACTTATTTTAACGTGTAACATATACAACAATTTAAACGGGATAAAACTTAATGCTGTCAAAACAGAACTTTTGCTCTCTGGAAAAAAACAAAAAATGAACGGCACAACATCTCTAGACAACCATCAAATTATACTTCGTGAGAAACGTAATCATCTCGGCTTTACTTGGGATACAAAAAAATCAATTTTTAAAAATTGGTTTTTTTGAAATTGAAGCACGTGGTTCACTAAATAGAATGAATATTGATAGTAGTAAATTTCCGGGCAACAGTGCAAACTCTAATTCAATCTGGAATCCGGTTTGCACATCCAAGATCTATCATCCAATTATATAAATCATTAGTAGTTCCGACGTTAACCCACGGTATAGAGCTCTGTGAAAATAAAGATTCAACAATGAAAAGACTCAACACATTTGGAAGGAACGCAGTTAAATCAAATTTTAATGTCTCCAAATATAGTAAAAACTATATACACTCTCTATTTAAAAATTAAGGAGATGTCAAGTTATATACACCAAAACAAAATAAATCTATTTATCCGCCTTTTAAACAATAAAGTAACCTTTTTCATTAACTCCCAACTTAACTACTGTTCAGCTAAATATTCTTTTTTATATGATATAAAAGAATTATGTGACAACTATAACCTGAATATGAAAACCTTAATGATGGTTAAAAAAAAAAATAACTTAAAGTCTTAGAGGATGTAATTCCTGAAGCTACTCTTTATATTTTGGTACACGCGGTTCAATGTCGGAATGTAAAAGAACAGCGAACAATTTTTAAAAAGACACTTGAAGAAAACATTCCTAAATAATACTTTTTTTTATCTCTTTTTCTAAGTTTGTGGATTTATATTGTAAATATATTTTACAGAGGGTGATTAACAAAATATTAATAATAATAATGATATAAATAATAATAAATAATTGAAACTTTCTCAAACAAGGGGAACTGTTGAGAGTTGGTAACGAAGTACATAACATTATGATTGGTAAGAGTGCGTTAGTTAGAAATATATTGTAGTGAGTTATGATTGTTCATATAATACTAGTTGTAAATATGTATTTTATTATAATAAATCTTTATTACAAATAAAATAAGAGTTAGTAGTTATATATTTAAAATAGTGAACACAACAACCTCAACAACTCACATCAAAAGTACGAACAGCCAAAACCCATGCATAGAGTCAACAAGATAGGTATTCAATACCCTTAAATGGAAACAATGTATTCTAAATACACCTACGTCTAATAAATGCAGAAAGGGGGCAAAGCTGGTCAACAAATAGAATTTGTTTTCCCGTTAAAATTCATAGTTTATAGTGCAAGCTTTCACAAATAAAATAATCACGTTCAATCTGGTCAAGATTCATGCTAAAGCACCACAACCTGACTCAAAATAGAAAAGCGAGGTTTTCTTTAAATTGTGCTTTAATATGCAGTAGAGCAATGGCAAATTATTTAAATGAACTGGCCGAAGAACTTAAAATTATAGATACAACAAAAAACAGTGAAAAAATTTCAAAAAAAATGTGGTACGCATGTTTATTTGTGATGAAACTCTTCAGTTTTTAAACTTTAGAGTTGACGGGAGTGCAAGTAAGCTGGTGTTTGCTGGAAAGGGTGACAGTTACTACTAAATGATCTGAAAAAACGGAAATTGTATCAATATTGACCCATTTGCGTCTTGTGCTGGGGATTTAGTTGTTTGCTATGTGAGATTATCAGGAAAATGAAACAAAATCCACAATGAAAAAGGTTCTAAATTTGCTAATATCAATTATAGAACATGGAGTACAAGATCATAACTCTTCACTCAAACTCTTTGATAGCAAGTTAAGAGAGAGAAAAGTTAAGAGACCTAATGTGGTACTAACAGACGGCCACTCTTCAAGGTTTTATGTGAAATTTGAATTGAAGTGCCCTTCAATTTTGTCATGAAAACAAATTTTTTTTTTGGTCAACCAGATACAAAAATAACAAAAGTGTTGGTTTAAGTAAGAAATAGTTTACATTTGTGTTAATCATTATTGCGGATGTTAATCATTATTTCCGATGTTAATCATTACTGCCGATGTTAATCATTACTGCCGATGTTAATCATTATTGCCTATGTTAATCATTATTGCCGATGTTAACCAAAACTGTTCTATAGTATAATGACAATTGATCGTTTTGGGTTTTTGAAAATATTCTGAGAGCTATGAAAATCTTGGGCAAAAAAATAGTTTTTAATAAAAGTAACAAAAGTGGTTGATATTGCAGAGTCAGGTCTAAATGTTAAATGGATGTAAAATATTAATTTGAACAAGCAGCAAGATGTATAACAACTATTCAGTCTTCTTGGGCCCCAAAACAACGTTCCTTATAAAATCAAATTGATTTATACCCTCACGGTGTTAGAACAAGTCCTCATGATTATAAAAAATTAATATAGTGTGATCCTACTAAATTTCTATTACTTATTGTTTTGATCATCACTAAAATATTAATAGGATTTAAATCTTATATTTATATTGTAACCGTATTTATATATTTTTTTATACACTGCCATATTTATATTTCATTAATATATATATATATATATATATATATATATATATATATATATATATATATATATATATATATATATATATATATATATATATATATATATATATATATATATATATATATATATATATATATATATATATATATATATATATATATATATATATATATATATATATATATGTATATATATATGTATATATATATGTATAAACAACCGTACATATTTATATTCATATATACTCTTGAAAAAAGTTTTATTAAACAAATTTAGAGATGCGCAGTTAAGATTAGCAAAACAGTTGTTTTTGTTTGTATAATGGTTGAAGGCCTAATTTCTATGTAAAAACAATTTCAAATTTTAAAATTTTTTGGCTAGGACTTTTGAAGTTTTTGGAACTTTAAGTACTTTATTATTTAATGCAGACAGTCTTAAAAATTATTTACACCTAATTGAGAACATTTAAATTTGAAAAGATTAAATTAATTAAATTCATGTCTATGTTTCTATAACAACTTAAAAGTTTACATTGTCGCAATTACAATTTATTCTTAGTTTCTTATTACAAATTCCTCATTACATTTTGTGTTTCTCAAGTACATATTACGGTTTCTTAGTTACATGTTTTGTTTCTTAATTGCAGGCCGGTAGCACGGTAGGTTGCTACCCCTTTTCAAGATAAAATTGAGAACACGAAAGTTGTAATTAAGAAATTGTAATATGTAATTGAGAAACACAACATGTAACTTAGAATTTGAGAAACGCAACATATTATTTCGAAATCGTAATATGTAATCGAGAAACAAAACATTTAATTTAGAAATCGTAATTGTAATAAACAGAACAATTAACTCTTGAATTTTAATCGCTATGTAATGCTCTTGCTGTCTGAATAAAGTAAATAAATAAAAAATCAATAAAAATTGGCGTTACTAGACTTTATGCTGATTCAGAAACATAGCCCTGACATTTTAGCGAAAGTTCTATAATTTATAGTCGAAATTTAAAAAGTTACATTAAAAACGCTAATATTCAATATCATTTAAAAAATAGTTTTGTTAGCGCTGTTTTTAATCGTTAGAAAGTAGAAAACTTAAAAAAAAAAAATTCAAAACCCGTGTTGGCGGCCCTTTTAGTAAAGGTCTAGAGGGTTGACACTAAAACTTTATCGCACTGGGGGACTTCAACCCCAGCAACGGTCTCAATTCAGAAGAAAAACATTATTCTGAGGTACATAGCACTATCAATCAGTTGTTTCAAAAAGTGAAAATCAAGATAATTTTGAGATGAAGAACAAAATAATTCTATCGTAGCGATATTTCGATTGGCGAATAGAGATATAGTAATTTAAATGTACATATACTGACGTATAGAGATCTACATGGGCAAACTTAGAGAGATAATTAATGTTTTAAACTTAGAGAGATAATTAATGTTTTAAACTTAGAGAGATAATTTTTTAAACTTTGACATCAAATAAGAGTACTTTTTTAAATTTAATTTTTTTAATTTATTTTTTGCTTGCGTTAAATAAGCTCAAAACATGCATTAATCTTAAAAACTTCGTTATTTTAATATAAGTTATTTTTGTTAACAACTTAAGAATATTAGGCTTCATAATAGGTTGCAGAAATTTGTTTCAACGTTATGTTCCAGCAAATTGTTTCAATAATATGTTCAGTAATTTCATAATACCCTGTATTATTTTGAAGTAAATGCAAATCAGGTCTGTAACTGCTATTTTGTAAGATTTAGAAAAACTAAGAGAAGTTAACTCTGCAGAGTTAACTTCTCTTAATCTTTGCAAGTCCTATAAAATACCAGTTTTTTGCGTATTTCAAAGCTCTGATGCAAATGACTGGTACCAGTATTTTGCGTCAGAGCTCTGATGCAATATTTTGCGTTAGAGTTAACTGACAAAATAATGTCTCAATAGAAAAACTCATTTTGGGCTACATCCGGCTACTAATTTTTAGAACGCCTCTTAGGCAAAGATGTTATGGTTACACTGAAAAAACCTGGTTTTTTCTGTGTAACCAAACAATATTAAATCGGTAATCTTAGAAACCTTATTTCAAGTGCTGAAGCACTAAGCACAATGAATTGAATTAACAATCAGAAAATTTATTTTACTTAGCTGAGTCTAATTTAAAATAAGACTACATAGTCTCATACTAGATATTTATTGATCGAGCTGAAAAGTTACCTACAGTGTTAGTGTTACTTTTATTTTTTTAATGTTACTGTTAAGGTATTGTTTGGTTTGGTTTATTGCTAGATTATATCAAAATATACGGCATACGAATTTGCTCGATACTTTAGTATAAAAATATTTTATTTTTGTTACATGTAATGGTATTCAAAAATGTTATATTTAGAAAAACACAGCTTTGGATTTTGCGCTTGGGTACTAATAATATTATCATTTCTTATTGTGATATGCAGTTTCCCTTTTTCACTCCTTTTTTGTCTGAAGGTATATGTTGAAGATTTATGTGTTTATATTAAACCACATAAAAATTATTGTTTTTTTTTACTATTACAATATTTATTTATTTTTTTAATTACTCTTAATTACTTTTTTAAATTTTTTATATTTAGTTAATTATTTATTATATTTTTTTTTTAATTTTTTTTTAATACAAAATTTTTAGATATTTTTACATAGGAATCTCTATAAAGATAAAATTATTTTACATTTCATTTATTTTAATCAACACTTTTATTGTTATATTTAAAATATTATTTTAATCAACACTTTTATTGTTATATTTAAAATAATATAACATATTTTTGTTAGTTTATTGTTTTTAGATTGTACAGGAATATGAAAGAGCTGTTATTTTTCGATTAGGTCGCCTGATAAAAGGTGGTGCTAAAGGTCCGGGAGTTTTTTTTATTCTTCCATGTATTGACAACTATAAAAAAATTGATTTGCGTGTCATTTCTTTTAATGTGCCTCCCCAAGAAATTTTAACTCGAGACAGCGTAACAGTATCTGTTGATGCTGTTACGTACTTTCGTGTTTCCAATCCCATTGCATCAGTTTGCAATGTAGAAAATGCAAGCCTCTCAACTAAGTTGCTTGCTCAAACAACTCTTTGCAATGAACTTGGGACAAAAAATTTATCTGAAGTGCTTATGGAGAGGGAAAACATTAGTAAAAATTTGCAACACATACTTGATCAAGCAACAGAGCCATGGGGTGTTAAAGTAGAAAGAGTTGAAATTAAAGATGTTCGTCTTCCACAAATGTTACAGAGAGCAATGGCTGCTGAGGCTGAAGCTTCAAGAGAAGCACGAGCTAAAGTAAGTTTTTATAAGTTTTCGCTAAAGTAAATTTATTTATTATATTTTTATAAGTTTTAAGTTTACATTTTTAAATTTGATTATAAATTTTAAGAAGATAATAAGGTTTATTATCTTCTTACTTTTAAGATTTATTTAAAACTATTACAAATCAAATAAAATACACAGCGTATAAATGTAAAAAGTGATGTTAGTTATATTTAAAAAAAAACAAGGTAATTAGGGAGTTTAATTTTCTTAAGGCTTAAATAATTCTTTTTTTTTGAATGAATGAAAATTTATGGTGTTGGCAAAAATTAAGAGAGAAAATTAAACAATCCTAAATGAATCATGTAAAAAATTTTATCATGAATCATGTAAAAAATTTTAAATACGTGTATAATACTAACTTAACTTCACTCTTCACTCTTTACTTGCACTTACACTCTTTACTTTCAAAAGTCAATTAACATTAATAGTAACTATAGCAACTATAATGTACCAATTAAGATCAACAGTAATAAAGAGACTACTGACACATTTTTGTCGAGGGATTTTTTTGCCGAGGTTTTTTTTCTCAATTTTTTTTATTAACGCGGATTATTTCAGAAGAACTATTGTTTTTTTCCTACTGCTTTTTTTAAGCAGCAGAACAAATTTAAAACAAATTTATTTTTATCATTTTTCAATAAATTTCAAATAATTTTTTACAAAAATTAAAATGATAATTTAGATATTAAGACTTTATTAACTTAATTTAACAGTTTTCGCAATGATTTTTAAAAAATATATATCTTTTATATATTTATATTGTTTATAATGTAAGCTTATCTTATTGGTTATATGATTTTTATATAAGTATTATACTTTTTGCTAACTCTTTAGAGCCCACCCAAACTTAACTAAAAAAGAAAATTATTATTAACTGTGTAAAGATATATTTTGCGTTGCAAAATGCAAAAACATAAATTTTTTGGAATTTTTTTTTCGGCAATAAGCTTTTTTAAATTATAGCATATCTGCTACAATAGGCTTTTAAAATAAAAATAAAAATAAAGATAAAAATATTTTTATTCATTTTTTTAAGTGTTCATATGTTTTTATTTATTGATTGTTAATTTATTGATTGTTATTGATTGTTATTGATTTATTGACATATGTTCTTATACATGATAGTGAAACAGTTTCGTTCTCTTTGCATACAAAGTCATACATTACATTTTTGGCCTTCAATGTATGAAAGCCCTGCAGGGCATTTTTTGCATCGCTGTCTTTTCTGATTGTATCCTTGTCTTACGTCTTGCGTTGGGTTGCTTTAGACCGCAGATCTTTTAGCTGTTGGTGATATCGCAGTTTCAAGAGATGGTCAGGCAACCATCTATTGAAACATTACATTTCTCTGTCTAAATTAGACTTGTTGCAACCTCTGCTTGATACTTTTTTAGGGACATATGCTTTGCTTTTGGATTTAATTATTTCAATTTTCTACAGTAAAGAAACCATGCATTTACTAGTGCAATCGCTGTTGTATGCGCCTAAGTGTATATATACCAAAGATGACACTTGAGGTTAGCTTTGTAAAACGAGCACATCATATCAATCTTATCAATTCCACCGATATACTTGTTATATGTTTTAACAATATAAGGTTGATGATAAGTCCACGGCCATCTTTACGTAAATGTTTTTTACGTAATAATGGACATTTGTTCAAATGGTTTGTATGAATGGTGCCAGTAAACCAAATTTCTCGCTCTTTGAGTACATCTAATAGAGTTAGCAATGTAAAAAAGTTATCTGAAAATACTTTAAAGTTATGACCAGATGGTAAATTGGATGACATATTAAGGATAACAGATATACCGACTCTGTATGTTGAAACTTTACTTGGTAAACATCAAAATCATAAAGAAATCCACTAAATCCACTTCTAACCCAAACTTTGAATCTCCATAATATTTTTTTTTTCGGAAAACTTTTGTTTTATTAAAGACCTTCCTTTAAGAGCAATCATGATTTCATCCACACTACAAAATTTCTCTGATAATATTTAAAATAATTAGGTAATGTAAGCAAGTTGCAAGTATGCCACAATGGGCATTTTTGACAACCCTTTGTCGGCATAAAATATCAGATCTTTTTTATTTAGTTGTGTTTTATCAATTTTTGATATCAGATGTTGAAGTATCTTGTATATCCACACGCATTTGTGTGTATGTGTATAGGCTGTTGGGTGGCGGCCGATAAAATAACAATAAGTAGATATCAAAATAGACAGTCAATTTGCCATAATATCACAAATTTATTATTTAAATTTAGAACCCTTATATTGAACGGCCCAGGTGGACTTCTTCGCCTTTTCGCCCTTGCCAGTCCGCCCATGTTCTATATTTTCTAAAATACTCATTATGCATTTTTTTTTTTGGTTTGTAATATCTGATTGTAAATACCTTGTATTAAAAGCTTCTTTTTGTGTGTGTGTATGTGTGTGTATTTTTTCTCTGTTGTCTTTTTGGTAAAACAAAAAAAAAACAAAAAAAAAAAAATTTTTCTATTCAAAATCATTTCTTTTCTACATAAAGAACTGATTAGATTTAGATTTACCAGTGGTAATTTGAATTATTAGGGGCTGATGTATCCTGGTTTGTATTCTACAGCCAAAAATAATGGAAAAATTTTGTTTTATTTAGACGAAACTGTATATTTAATCTGATATGCTGCATATCATACATTTTCGTGGTGCAATTTCGTTTACAAATAGATTTACATAGTGGAAAAATAAGTAGATTTAGAAAAATAAATAGATTAGGCGGGAATAAGAACCTCGGGGCCAGAGTGAAAAAATTATTTGGGGGCTCCAATCTCAAAAAAATAAGTTCAAAAACGAATAAAACTACTTTTTTATTTTACAGAAAAAGTTTTCACATTGATCAATAATGACATCTTCAAAATTTATACTTTGAAATTAATACTTTTACTTTCATGTTTTTACTGCTTACAAATAATGCTTTAGAACCTTCCAGAACATTCCTGAATGTTAAGAAAATCTTCTTGAACTGATATTACATATTCGAAAATAGATTAATCGCACAACAAGAGTTAAATCTGCACTTTTATCCTGAAGTTTAATAATACATGGTTGTCATAGTTATACATGGTTATCATGGTTATACATGGTTATCATAGATCCTGATAATGTCAACATAACTGACCCAAAAACGCCACTTTTATGAAAATACAACGTACACATCAAGGTAATCTGTGAAGCAAGTTTTAAAATCTTTAAATTTTGTCCGTGGTAAATACGTTTTATTTAAATGTTCAAATTAAATGAAACTTAAACTATGCGCGATCAAAAACACCTGCAAAATAAAATTCCGTATAATTTGATAAAAGTTTGTGCAAATATAGTCTACGGTCACACTAAACTCTGAATAAAATTTCATTTTTATTGGTTAAATGGTTTAGTATTTATAGCAGTTTTGTTAGTGTTTTGTTACTTATATCTGAAAACGTTACCCATTACTTTAATATTTGGTCACTATTTTTAAAATAATTTTATAGACCAAAATATTGATTAGCTATTTAAAACGTAGTTTGAGCTTTAGCATGGTGTGATTTTATCAATACCTTCTTAAGTATAAACTACTGCCAAAATTTAAAAAAAGACAGAAAAAAAGTGCAAATTTTAGATTGTCAAAGGACTATCAGTTAAGAAAACAAACAAAAAAATAGGTCTCTGTTTTTATTGACTCTTGAAACCTGCTTATTACTTTCAAAATTAAATGAAAATTTTAACCCTTAATTTAATTTTTTTTTACTTTGTATTAGCATCAAATTACATTTTAAGACATGTTATTTGATTTTCTCCACAAAACATTTGTTAATAAATAACTCAATATAACCTTTTAGTACAAATATTCTAGAATACTATTTTTAAATATCAAAATTTATAGTTTTTTGAACTAACAACATTTAAGTATTGAAATAGTAAAATGAAAGAGTATAAAAGAACTTTTAGTTTCAAAACTTTTCTTTCTTTGTGCTCTGGATGATGTTTTGTGCTCTGGATGATGTTTTGAGCTCTGAATGATGTTTTGCTAAAAAAAAACCTTGATAAAAATCTGATTGAGCAGTTTTGACATTTTGTTCATTATATGTTCTTCGTGAATCATGAAGTTTTTAATGTGGTTGAAGACGTGAATTATGGGTATTAGTTATCGTTAACACCTTTTAAACATTTCAGTTTTTTCATCAAAACCCGGCTGAACAACTAAATTTAAAATTTTGAATGCATCAACTATGAAAATGATTTTGAAATCATGTTTGCTTGAGCAAGTTGCTGCGACAAATCTATATTTTTTTAATAAACTTCCTGCATTCATCTCCTATGAACTGGATCCCATGATGTGGGCTTAGTTGTATATGGAGGGCAGCTGGTCGCTTTACAGTTTTTTTAAAAAAAGTTTAAAGAATCTCGATGATTAACAACGTCTAAAAGGAGATGAAATTCCATCGGTGGGATGATTTCAAAAATGAGAACATTGTCATGTCTGCTGATGATTCTCTTTCGAATAACATTGGCGGCCATAATTATATTTGCATTTTTCATATCACAAGCCAAAATTAGTTTTAAAATTAATTTAACTTCATTTACATTAATCAGTGATTAAAGCAAATTTAAAATAATTTTGAATAAAAAATACATAAGGCACAAAACATATTGTGCACAAAAATACATTAGGCACAATACTTAATAAATTATTGCAGTGAGTAATAACTCGAACTGTACAAGAATCTTCTTTTCCGTCGGCAATTTTTAAATCACTGCAGGTGAAGAAATTATTCAAGTCTTGATCTGCACTTGTAAAAATTATGTCAAAATTTAGTTCTGCCAACTTGCTGCTTGATTGCTTCTGCTTGATTGCTTCTGCTGCTTGATGTTTGGTTTGTAGTTCTGACAAGCTTCTTTAATCTGTTGTTTGACCGGACCGTATTTAATTGTACATTTACAAAAGCTA